TAAATCTTACATTAGAGGCCTATACTCTCCAGAACACACTGTACATAGATATTATTGCGAAGCTTATTTAATGCGCAACATAACATAACAATAGGTGGCGCTATTTACGCTATTGGCTCCGAGTCATAATCAAGTGCGACTGCATTGGTCGTCATTTAATTCGTTCAACTTTTGACATTCTTAATTTTTTCTTCAAACAAAATTTGTGTTATTCAATATATAATCTAAGAGATTAAGTTTACAGGCTTTATCCCCCATAGTAATAATCTCATTACTCTAGTGTATATAATGTAAATCCTGCAATGACATTTACAGTCCCTGAACTAAAGCAACGTTCGCTATATCTTTGTGTTACTGTATTCAGTTTCTTTTTATCTGTTTTTAATCTAACTGCTAATGTATCTGACCACTTAATGTTAAAAAAACCAAAAAAAAAATGTCAGCAATAATATAATACGATGTATATTATAATTAACTTAATACCGTATACATCACGTAAACTGATGGAATAAATGCTACTTTCGGAGTAATTTTAATATCTTCTATAAACGAATGATTTCACACTTGTTTAACGATTTTTTTTACTGCTGCCTAGGGGGTGGGGGAGTGGTCTACAAACAAAATGTTGCCGAAATGACAAAAAAAAAACAAAAAAACGTTTTATTGTTTAGAGGATCGCATTACCTAAGCGTATATCGTCAATAAAAAGGAGAGCAACATGTAATTGTGACGTAATTTGCGTACGGCATTTAATTACAGTCTCGAGATATTTTTTTTTGTAATAATAAAAAAAAAAAAACCACGTTGAAATATACATAGGCCTACCGCTCCACTCAGCGTCTCCGTTTAATTCAAATAGAAGACTTTGTAGGCCTATTATGAAATTTCTATTATGCTTTCATTCAATTAGAGAGAACGCGGCGGGTCTTCAACTGAATCATTTACAAAGACACAGAAGGATTACACTTAGTTTTCTTGCATAATTCAGTACTTTCTTCAGTTTTGATAACAGCAATATCATTTAGGATGATGATGACGATGAAGATGATGATAATACAGGATGATGATTAATGATAATGATGTTGATGACGACGAAGACGACGATGATAATAAGGATGATGGTGATGATGATGTTGAATGTGATGATGATGGTGATAATTATGATAATGGTAACAATGGTACTGTTGATATATAGAAATTTAACAATCATCACGTAAAATATTTCTTTCTTATTAATCTTTCGACTTATCATTATTATTTATAATAGGCCTACTTCTTTAAATACAAGTAGATGAATGAAATGATAGGCGTATGTGTCAAATATGTACACCTTTAATGTTTATATCCATACCATTGGATTTACAAAATTAATTTTTGCGAATTCACTTCCTGAGTTTGCAATATTATCAGCTTATTATAAATACATTTTCACAGAAGTTACGAATATTCACTCTGTAGGTGCCGGTGAGATGTTCTTTAACATCCTCTTCGATAAGCTGGCTAGAGTGTCGTATAGACTGTTGTCTGTCTCCCTTTGACATTTAAAGCCAATCGCGCTGTGTGATATTTTAAATTACCCGTCGGTAAGTCATATTTTCTCGTCTTTATTCATAATTTACTAAGTCTTGTGGCAGTTATTGAATCATTCATATCTCACATATAATAGCATAACCTTCGAAGAGATGCACCGGGTGTTCAAAGCAGCTTCTTAGAAAAACCTGAAATTTATACTAGACTAATGGAGAATATAATAAATGATGGTGGTGTCAAAATTAATTATGACCCGAATTTCTTTCTGTGTTTTGAAGAGTTTAGTTATATATGGTTTTATTTTCATTATATATGGTTTTTTTTTGGCCTGATTTCCAGAGTGTAACACAAACAGAAAATATTTTAAGAATTAACATACAATCACTTGCTTGTATTCGGCTTGTAAACGACTGTGTTGGTAATGTATATAATAGGCCTAGTGATGATGATAACAATTATTATATTTTTACAATAACAAAACTAATAAGATAACCATCGTTATTTATAAAATTATAATTATAATTATAATAATAATAATAATAATAATTATTATTATTATTATTATTATTATTAATTATTATTAATATTACCATCATTATTGTTGTGTTTATCATTATATACATATATATTATTATTACTATTAATATCGTTATTATTGTAATAGTAGTAGTAGTAGTAGGCCTAGTAGTAACAGCAGCTGCAACAGTAGTCGCGGTGGTGGGGTGGTCGTGATAAGTATAAATAGTAATATTATGTAAGTTTAGATTTTTGTCACTACAGTATTGACAACAAAAAAACAATATTGTTGAAAACGAAACATTAGTTAGCGAAACAAACACCATGCTAAATTAAAAATAAATCTCTAATAAAAAAAAAAAGTTATATGTCGAATGACTTGAGTGAGGATGGCAATATCATATCACTTAATTTCTGTAGATTAAGCTTTCCATGGGAATGTCACGAAGCGCAGACTTATAAAAAAAAAACGTTGATTGATGGCACACTGAACAAAAATCCATGTAAAACCATCCGTAATCAATTTTCTAAATAACTAGAAAATTTGATGGGCATCGAACGAAATTATCATCAGTTTTAAATTTGTTGTTTGTGTTATAGCATACCATATCTCATCTCTTTATACTGACAATGTTTATTACGGTAGTATTTTTTTAAACTTTATAAATAAATTATTTCTGATCGATATACCAATTTTGACGTGACGGACTTTTTGGGAAGGTCACAAGTTTACCCAACATCAGAGCGTTGTTCACATTGTGAACGTGGAACTCATGATGGCGGTGATGAAGATGAAATGGCGATGGGAACAACGACGACGACGATGATGATGATGATGATGATGATGATGATGATAATGATGACGATAAGCATAATAATGATGGTGACGACGATAAGAGTGATGGTGTTGAGGATGATGATGACGACGTCAACCACGATGATGATGATAATGATTATGATTATGCAGACGACGATGAAGATGATGATGATTGTAATTGAATTTGCAAATAAGGCAAGTACTACATCATGCTTTGGTTTCATTATTATTATTTTCAAAAATGATAAATATGGATGATGCTAATAATATGTCCACACTTGAACGATAATCAGTCCCACGAAACAAATTGACCTACTGGCACTAATCAAAATGGAGCTACAGAGATTTTACGCGATGTTGAATAATCAGTGTTAGTAAATTAATGCATGTCGATCGTCACCCACGCGATTTTTGCGCGTTAAATACAATTTCATATGATCGGTAATGGACATCACTAAGCCCCGTCCCTTGGATAAATAATAATAATATATAAATTTTTTTTATAAACAAATAAACGAGAAATGTGAATCAAGGGAGGAACAATGTTCCTGTAGAAGGTTTGGCAATTGTTCAAAACGACAGCATAAACATACGTAAACGCATGTGTTTGTGGGACATGCGCGTATTCTTGGGCATGTTTTGATTGTTCAGTTGTTAGGTTTCTGTGCCTTGCCAGAAAGATCCGTACATCATCAGGACGGAAGAGTAACAAATCATTGTGAGTTTATGGTTTTTCAGCATTTATACGCAATGCGGCGGTTGTTTCATCTTACCTGTGCGCTTGGCTGGAGTGCCTTCCAAATATACGCGCCTTTCATCAGATTTATGCCGTCCAAAGGCAATGTATATTGACCAATAACGCAATGTCTTGAATATTTATCGAAGTCCTGCACAGATAGGCGTAGTAGTCGTCGTTGTGCTTCTCTATACGCAAGATCAAAACGAAAACTTTCGTCAAAATCCGGAGCCTGAGTCTTTGGTTTAACGGCTGTCTGTCTGGAATTTATTTGATCAGGTAAAAGAGACACCTTGACGTATGGATTTGAATGTGCTAGATCAATTTTATCCGGGTCATAAGCAACCGGTGGTGGCAGGTCACGTGCTTTTACAACCCTGACCAATAACTGTTCATTTGTAAAATCGTATCGAACCCCAAAATGAATCTTGCCGAGGTGCTGACTCTCTGGACTGTCTTCGTCTTCAGGAACCCCGTAAAGTTTTGGTTCGATCTGGGCATCAGAAAGCTGGTGAAATTCCGCCCCGAAGCGCCTTGTAGGCGTCCTTGGCTGGACAATTTCAGAGTTCGTCGTCGGTGACCAAAATTCAATGGGTTTCATATCAATTACCGGTATGGGGATACTGCTTCGGCGATCGGAAGATGACCGTCGAGAATCGGCATTCGAGGAACGCCGAGAGCTGGCCGAAGGGTATCTGATTGTGCGGTAAGGCTGTTCGGCGCATATTGGGAAATTGTCACTGTCACTGGAGTCGGCAAACGCGTCATCAAGCGGCGAGAAACAATCACATGGGCAACATAAGCAAGACGACGGTTGGCAACAGATAAACTGACTGAACTTTGTTAGAATACTCGCTTCCTGAAATGATATTAAACAATCAATGTTAATTTTTATTATCATTATTCAAATTCAAATAATTCAAATAAACATTTTTTCTTCACAAGATATAATAACAAATGATAAAATTAAACAACCGGATTTCATTAGAAAGAAGAATTGTGTGAAAGAGAGAACTGCTCAAAAAGTACACTCCAAATGAGAAATAGACAAAAAGAAAGACCATTTATCAAGTGACACTTGTAGCGAGCGACACATATAATTACGAAAGCATAAGTGTCATTAATTATAAATTAATGGACATTCATGGGTGTAATTGTCATATTTTCGGACAAACATAACCTAGTTGCACCATATTGTGCTACAATGAATTAACACATTTTTTTTAATTAAATTGTTGGTGGTTTTGTTTTCTTCTTCATTATTACTGAACCTAGTTTCAATTAAATATAAATACAATATTCAATAAGTTCAATAATACAAAGAGAATATTTAAACCAAAACCGTCTGTGGTGTTGCGAACGTTAACATTCTTTCTTGTATTGGCTATCAATTCAATGGATAGATAGATTGGGGGTGGC